CAATATTAGCTATAAGCCCCCCCAAACAAAATGTCCACCCCTCCAAAAAAAATTTAAACACCCCCCCCCCCCCAATATTCAGCATAATAAAAAATAATTAAATAGTCCACTCCAATGTGCAGAGTGTTGATGATACAAAATAAACGTAGGAGTACACTCAAATAGAAAAAATACTCTGAAACTAATCGCTCCTCGCTTGCATTCACTGATTTATTGGAGCAATTGTAAAGTTTTGAAACTTTGTTATCTCCCCTGAATAGAGTTTTCGGTACCTTGTCATGCAAATAGCTTGCTTGCAAGGAACGTTTGGATTTTTTACGAACATTATTTTTAGTTTTTAATTCTTTTAGGAAATAGACGTGCCTAGATTTAATCTTTACGCCCCAAATATTATTTACTTTGGAGTTGCAACATAAATTGTACTCGGATTCAAACGACACAATGTCAATGACTTTATAAAAGTAAAAGCATATTGTGTATTGGCCTATTGGGTTTACACTTTTGCAGGTTCATTTAACTTTAACTCTCTCAAGTCTCAACAGACAATAGGACAGGCCAAATCCATGGATATGACAACTTCAAAAAACGTTTTTTCGAAGCTAGAAATCATGGGTTTTTTCCAATTTTTCCAGGAATGCTTTGTTTTCTGCTCTCTAGACTCCCCCTCGCGGTTCTAGCGCTCCACCCCTAGAATATAGACCTTACTGGGGTTTGGTGACACTTTGTGTTGCTTCAGTCACCTGCTCACGGCTCACCCCCCTAAAATTTCTGGCACCACCCCAGTAAAAAATATGAAAATCCGTCTATGTTCAACAGCTAAAAGCATGATCTTTCCGAATGTGAAAAATCTCGTTCATACGCATAGTAATTCAGATACAATAGCGCGCTGAAGTTCGATTACCTTTTTTTTATACACCCTGTATATGACCACTTACTTTTGTTACAGGTATATCGAGTCTATTTTCATTTTGGATTGTGAAGAGCAATGAATGGTTTTCGCGGTCACTTGCAGTTGAATGGTTGTTATATATTTCATCCTACGAAAATGAGGTAAGATGAATAATTTTATAGTCATTACCTGTCCTTTCAGAACAACCAATCAAAACCAGGGATGATCAACACCGCGGAAAAACGTCTGCACATGCACCAAATTATGAAAATATGGCGGGGAATTTGAATATCAATTTCTAAAACAAAAACATGCTTATTAATTGGTCAAAAATTAGTAAAACAAACGAGAAAATATAGCAAATGGGTAGACTAGACATTAATTGAAAGCGTCCTGGCATTTAAAGTATGGAATGAAATATAATTCATGTCAAAAATTGTTGATTTTAACGGACACGACTTCGAAAATGTTTGCAGAATTATTCAAAACAAAAATTCAAACTAAAAAGTTAAGAAAACTCTCGGAAAGTTAAGCTTCTTAACCCACTCAAATTGTAGAATAAATCCTAAAGTTTAATTCTTGTGAACACGAATTTTTTTTATTTTTGGCGACACAGTTTTTTTTAAAGAAATGTATCTCAAACGAAAATTCGGAAATTGTCGTTGCTTAGTTGATAAACAAAATGTTTCAGACAATAAATTTGTCTTTAGTTCATGTTCTTGTACAATACAATTTCTTGAACCATCTGGCTGTATTTATTCCTAGTTTCCATGTTTATTTTTGCGCTCGAAATCTGGCTGTAAAGACGCACAAGGAAGTCACTCCATTTTACCGCCATTTTGAGCCTTCGGAAACGTTCGGAACAGCTTCTCATCAAGTTCGCAATACTATTACAGGTAAGGTTGACGCATGCGTAGTCGTTTTTCCGCGGTGTTGGATGATCCTATAATATTTCTTTAAAGACCCTGTAAAGTGCGTTCTGCGCATACGTTCTGCGCAGGCCTACATTCCAATGGTCGTGGGACCCGACCATTGGAATGTTATTAATATTTCGCACCTTCCGAACTCTCTTGAATTGAATCTCTAGTCCTGTATTCATGTATTCATTTACAAGCACAGCGAACCAAAAGAGTGCTAAAAATTCAATATAATGTATATATCTAGTCATATTTTATATTTTACAACTGTAGCACTGAGTTCAAAATGTAAACAAAGCGTTTGTTTACATTACGGACTTTACATGGACAAACGCTTTGTTTACATTTTGAACTCAGTGCTATAGTTGTGCTACACTGAATTTTTAACATTCTTCTGGTTCGCTTATGCTTGTAAATTAATACAGACTAGAGATTCAATTCAAGAAAGTTCGGAAGGTGCGAAATATTAATAACATTTGAATGGTCGGGTCCCGACTGGTCATTGGAATGTAGGCCTGCGTAGAACGGACTTTACTGCATCTTTAAACTTTGAGATAAACATATACAATTATAATTGCACAATTAATATAGACACAAATATATAATTATATAAAGAACGTATTCAGTAAAATAACCTTGATTGAAAAACCGATACAATATGGTGCTTCAGGTTTTGGTATGCAAATTTTGATTTTCAAAAGGTTTTATTTATGCCAAAAATCTCTTTTAGAAGGAAGCGAATATACTTATAACAGCACTAAAACAACAAGAAATATACAGTACAAGAAACATATAGTGTTTGGCACCAGCAAACTAGAGACTTGGGTTTTGACTTTCAGTTTGGAGGACAAATATTGTGAAAAACTAAACTTAGTTTTCTCCCCCAAAATGCTATTCATTCATGAATAATTTTAGCATGCACAATAAACATTCTTTATAGTTGCAATGTAAATATTTGCTTCTAAAGAAATTTTGGGCATAAATAAAAAATTCTTGCAGTCACATGACCAATCATGTAATTACTGTTTATTCCAAAATTGTGCGATGTTGAATACTCTGTATTTGTTTACAAAGTCATTACTGAATAAGTGATTTAATTCTGGTAGTTGTGATTATGTGATGTCATCATACCATGTCTTATACAGTATATACAATTTTAAACACTATTATTCCTTCCTTCTAATTTTAGGACTTTTTTTCTTTAAAACTCTCGAACTGACATCACAATATTAATTAGCTTACATCTATAATATAGGGCCCTTAAATACTGTAAAAGCTATGTAGTTTCTAGTAGGCTCCTAGCCCACTTCTTGTAAATATATATAGTTATTTCTTTTACTAATAATTGTTTTGGGCGAATTAGTAAAAACGATTTTAGAGAACACACTGGGGTTGGGAAATCTATTTGTACGCTTTTTACCATTGCTCTTTTAAGGACGTATAAAAATCTATACCTTTGTTGCATCAAGTTGTTCTAATTTGTTTTAACAACTTCTGGCTGCGCTGATTATGTTAATCAGGAATGGCGTAATACACTCCCTTCCTCTGCGTGTGCGCGCATAAGTTCTACTTTAATTGCGCACGTCTTGTACGGAATAAATCTATTGGTTAAACCTTCATACTTTATCCAATGTACAATTCATTCGAGGAATCAAAGTTGAAATTTGGAAGAAAATAAATAGCTAACAAAATAATGAGTCGACTTTTACTCACAGATAATCTCGATTGATTTATTCGACCTTCTTCAATACTTTGATAACTACCATTATCAATGGAACTACGACGTATTCTTTGTAATCTTGACATGTCCAGTTCGGGTAGGGAATGGTTCTCGATCAAAGCACATATATTGTTTAACTGCGTCTGTATCAGGTCTAGTACACTAGGATTCTGTAATGGACTAGAACGACAGAAACATATAAAATAACTAAGCGAGGCGATGTAGGTATACTTCCCGCTAGTCTCCTCTGCAGTCTCTATGGGACTCATGGCTCTATAGCCCGCGCATGGGTAGTTCAAAAAACTTTCCGATCCACCCGATTCCCTAGAGATGTCTGCGGAGGAGCATATCTTTCCCCAGGTTAAAGAAAATATTAATCTTTTTTCCTAAATTTGTGTCTTTTGATTTTTGTGATTAATGTTGAAAGAGTGTGCAGTCACAAATTTGACAGTTGCTCACCGGCCGCTTGTGCGAAGGCCGGATAACGCTATCCTGCAACGGATAGTGATCTTTTCAACCTTTGTAAAAATGCCTGAAAAGCTGGAAAACTACACAGTACGAATAAGAAAGCTTGGAAAATCACTATCCAGTGGACAGCGCTACCAAATTTGGCAGCTTATTGAAAAAAATAGTGAAATTCATACTATAGAATTTGCGATTGCATCACCATCAAAATAGGCGAGCACGCGAGCACTGCTCGCAGGAAATGTTAAACAGCTGCAGGAAATTCGTTTGAATGAAGATTTGTTTTTGAAAATTTGAAGGAAACTTTAACACCCATGTTCCACCATAGTCTTTCGAGACATGGTCTGGAAACTCAGTAAACTTCAAAGCGGCTATAATGAGCTGGGATATTATGTTGAGCCATACCTTACACCGTGCACATCTTTTGTTTTAGGTTTATTAATATTTAAATAGCATGGTTGAATGACTGAACTGAAACGTTGCTATTGGATGATTCGTTCATTATACTGAAATACAATGTGTTCATTGGCCGTGCACCGTGCACAAAACTGCATAAACGCGAACAAAAAGATAGAACAGAGACTAGTTAACGGAGTTTCCAAACCATGTTTTGAAAGACTATGGTTCCACTATGGGCGCAACAACATATGGTTGACAGACATTATTCCTTGAATTTAAAACGATGGTCAGGTAGAACCATTGTTCAGCAGATTTAGCACAAAAATACTCCCGGTTGGTCTACAAGAAATTTTTGTCTCCGGGTTGTGCTTCCAGAAAGAAAATTATTTTTTCCTGCCCTGTGCACCACTAAATTCATAGTATATCCATACCATATTTCCATACCATATCCTTAGCTAGTAGCATGGAAAGTGCAATTGGTATGAAAACTGGATTGCCATATTATTTTCAATTAAGTTCCATACCATATTTCCATAGTAAGGATTTTGAAAAAATAATTGAGACCTAATTTTAATGCATAAAATATTGCTAAATATTTCCATAGTCACAATAGGCACGCTCTGACTGCATGATATTTTCATACGCCATTGTATTTATTGCTCTATTTAGATTTTTGAGTTCATCTTTACTGGATATTATCCTTAATATACTGTATACGGCGACATGCAGTTATGAAAAAGTTAGAAGTCGACTATATGTCATACATATATGGATACAATTGTTGAAATAATACATGCAACATGATGCAACAGGCAGGCACAGCCTCCTACTCCGATAGTTTGACAGACAATATGCTTTTGATCAATATCAGTTCGACATTACGTATACTGTATTACTAAATTTTGACAAAAATTTCATCACAGCTTGAAAGCTGAGCATCACAAAATTAGTAATATTCCAAAGTTTCGTTGCGAAATGTTGTAAAATGCGGATAATACAACCTTGCGAAATTTGCAATTTTCAGTCATTTTGTATTACAAACGGGAAATTGATGCCCCAACACCCGATTGGGCTGTCAATTTCCCGTGCGTAATACAAAATGACTGAAAAACGGCAAACTTCGCAAGGCTACATATATTATCCGCATTTTACAACATTTCGCAACGAAACTTTGGAATACTACTAATTTTGTGACGCTCTTTCAAGCTGTGATGAAATTTTTGTCTAGATCAAATGGTCCATTCTCAAAATACCATACCTTAATTCAGCGTGAGGATTATTGACCACTACAGTCAACTTTGGAGCATTGGCCTCGGCGTGTTGAAGCCTTTCTTCAAATGACCTAATTAGATACAAAATTTTAAGATATAAATTTTAAATAATTTTCACAAAATTATTTCACTTAATAAATTATAAAAAGCAACTGGTAGAGTGTTACGAAATTATGTGTTGTAACGAGTCGAGTCATTGGCCTGTATTCTAAAAGCTTACTCACACTCAAAGAGTGAAGGTTCAATCTGAGCTTCCCTTGCGTGTCAGTGCTGTTTTTGAATAGCTGGAGGGTGAGTAATCACATAGTAAGCTACGACACTAACCCTCCAGCTATTATTGAAAAATAGCATTGACACTCAAGGGAAGCTCAGATTGAACCTCCACTCTTTGAATGTGAGTGTGTTTTTAGAATACAGACAATTGACTCTGACTCGAGTCGCAATATTTTGCGACTCGAGTCGATTACGAAAAATGACCCGAGTCAACAGCCCTAAATGACTCGACTTGTTGATTTCTGCCTTATAATTAAAAGACTCGAGTCAACTCAGCTACAACTTGTTCAGAATCAGTTCATCAAAATTATTGTAGTTGATTAGGTTTGGAAGATTCCTGAACAGGCTTGAACCATAGGCTGCCCAACAGTGCGTGTTGTAATTTTTACCCTCGCGCGTGGCGCTCGGGCGTGCATCGAGTCTACTCAGTTTATTATTATGATGTCATAATAATAAACTGAGTAGACTCGATGCATGCCCGAACGCCACGCGCGAGGGTAAAAATTTCAACACGCACTTTTGGGCAGCCTATGCTTGAACTGCAATAAAAAATAATTCTCGATGCAAATAGGCATGTTTCCACCACTCTTCCACTGGTAGGGAAATTTTTTAAGCCATTTTTGTTCACCTTATTGTTCACCATACAATTCGTCTAGTCATTGACTCGACTCGAGTGAATCCATTGACTCGACTCGAGCAGATAGTGAAATGACTCGACTCGTGATTCGCCTGTTGGTGATTCGTTACAACACTGATAAAGTGTTACAAAATTAAACGTGAAAGTCATTAGCCATAGCAATCTAGTGTTTCTGAATGCTTTAATATACTTATTAGCGTTTTCATGTTGTTGGGAAACCCGGAATTGATATGTAAGTCTCACCGCTTGGCTGCTACACTGTCATCAGCAATAAGCCGAATTAAGCCGGTTTTCCACTTCAAGCGTACCGTACCAAAACGTATAAAAAAGTTTTTAAATTTCAAATTTTCGTGAATGTTGATTGGTTAGTACTTCCGTAGTACGCCAAAAAAACTCTTTTCAATCTGCGCATGCTCACCAGCACGTTTCGGTACGGTACGGGCGAAGTGGAAAATCGGCTTTAGGAATGAGCCAGGCTTACGTACACGGTGTTGTACGGATACAGTCACATAGATTCCATACAATGTCCGAGTCACTGGAAACTGTTGTTACAGTCAAACCGGATGTTCTCTTGCAAGCAACATTGCAATATTGTCCCACAATATTGCATTTTTGATAGGCAGATTGCTCTGAGCAAATTGCAACCGACGCGAACAAATTGCAAGTTGGAAATTCACAAAAGATTTGTAAACAAAGTCTCTGATTGGATTAAAAGGAAGAGGGAAGCCAATCAAATAGTCTGAGCAACTGGATTGGTGCTTCCCTCTTTCTTATAGTCCAATCAGAGGCTTTGTTTACAAATCTTTTGTGAATTTCAACTTGCAATTTGTTCGCGTCGGTTGCAAATTGCTTAGAGCAATCTGGCTATCAAAATTGCAATATTGTGGGACAATATTGCAATGTTGCTCGCAAGAGAACATCCGATTTGACTGTAAAAGCGAGTTGTTATCGTTAGTCCGTGTGTTGTGACCTCGAAAAGTGCCTAGGAAACGATTTTCATTAAGCATGTCTTAGATCTGAAATATTTTTACGGGAACTAACACTTTCCAACACGCTGAGTTCAAATCCGAAAAGTTCCCACTCCGTAGACCCGCAGTTTTCTCACAAACTGCTATTTTATCTTCACTAATTTCATAGCAAATTTTTTCATTGTTCAACGACAGGGATCCATGACGATACACAATTATGTCACTCAAAAGGACCAATTTCTATTAACCATTCTTCCTTTTAACAAAAGACCGGTTTTGCTCGAATCATTTTGAGTTATGCAATCTTATGCGTGTTGGACGTAAACAACATATCTTGTCTACAACTTTGAGAAGGTACAGATAATTCCTCTAATATCCTTAGTTCTGGATCTATCTCTATAAAATTACAAGGACGTCAAAGTTAAGTCTTTGGGCTATGTCTCTGAGCTGAGAAATAATTGCTTACACTATGCGATCAAAATGTTTTATACAACGATGTAAAACGGTAATCTATATGTAATGGATCAGCATTTAAATTTCCAATACAGTTCTGAGATGTAATTCAAGAGATAAGTTATCATTGCATTTGAACTATTACATCAGTTGGTGTTATACTGTGCGATAAGAGAATATTATTGGAAAGAGAGCTTCCATATACGTTGAAATCAGCAAATAAACAGCTCATGCACGCATTTCTCCACTTCGTCGTAAGTTTACAGAGCATATTTTATACTTTGGGACTGATCTTTGTCTTTGACGTGAACATTTATTCTTATAGTTTAAGGTTATTTAAGATTGATCCTGTCGTAAGTGTTCTACCAGCAACCAATCGACAATATTTCATTTTAGCGTAACGGCAAACCGTTACGTTGGCTTCGCGTTACTTTTGTTTTAAATACCTTGATCGCGTTAGGGGCCATTCACAAAGGATGTCCGAGCCAAGGGGGCTGGGAAAATCAGGACCAACTCGGACATAGGGGGGGAGGGGGGTTTTTAGCAATCCGGATGTCCGAAATTTTAAAAAATTCAAAAACAAATTTCTTTTTCCCTCTATTTTGAGCAGTCCTTCTCATTGTGAAATTGGCATTTTGACTGTGCAGTTAAAACTAGATTTTGTTTTAATTAGTAGTTTATATGTTTTTGTATTCACATTTATGGTCATTTATAGTTATAAAAAAGTTCTAAAAGTAAAAAAAGTTTTTTACTCTTGACATATACAAGGTTGTGTGAGTTTTTGCGAGGCATGGTGGATGTCCGGGGGGAGGGGGGGTCACTAATTCGGACAATGCTGGACAAGGGGGGGAGGGGGGGTCTGAAAATCCATCATTTGGCAGGACATCCTTTGTGAATGGCCCCTTAAAAGAGTTATTTTTCAGGCCAGTGACATTGCCAAAAGACTTCGCATTAATGTCCTTGTGATTTTATAGAGATATTTCTAGAACTGAGGATTTTAGAAAGCGTTATCTGTACTTTCTCAAAGTTGTAGACAAGACATGTTGTTTACGTCCAACACGTATAAGATTGCATAACTCAAAATGATTCGAGCAAAACCCATCTTTTGTTAAAAGGAAGACTGGTTAATAGAAATTGGTCCTTTTGAATGACAAAATTGTGTATCGTCATCGATCCGTGTCGTTGAACAATGAAAAATTTGTCGTGAAATTATTGTAGATAAACTAGCATTTTGTGAAAAAACTGCGGGTCTACAGAGTGGGAACTTTTCGGATTTGAACTCAGCGTGCTTGAAAGTGTTAGTTCCAGTCAAAAAATGTCAGATCTAAGACATGCTTTATGAAAGTGAACGATATCGGGTCACAACACACGGACTACGTCATCTACAAGCGATTAGTATCGCTGTGATGTCATCCACGAACTTTATTCGTCCCTGCCAGTCTCTCGTTAATGGGTTTATCTACTGTAGTACTGAACATAATATAGGTCAAGTTTTGTTCCTTGCGGGAGACCACCATTAACCGTTTTCCAAGAGGGAAGGGACTTGCCGATGCTCACGCACTGCTCTCTATTGGTAAGGAAAGATTTATTCCATCGTACTATTACTGGGTGAACGTTGATGTTAACAAGCTCATGGATAATTATGTTGTGATCAACTAGATCAAATCCCTTTCGAAAGTCCGCGAAAAACAGCCTGGCAGAGCATTGACCAACATCAAGACCCGCAAGGATCAAGTGAATCAAGCAAGGATCAAGGTAAACCAAGGTCTGAGTAGTTGATTTCCCAGGAAGAGCATGTTGTTTAACATCCAGTTGGTTACAAATCTCCAGAAGCAGAGAGTTGAGTGAGAAACCTTCCATCACTTAGCTATCTGTGAGGTGAGGGATATCGGTCTGAGATCGTCTTCAATGGAAATAGGTGGTGATGATTTCGGAATTGGTACTCTAACGGATCGTTTCAGTTGTCGAGGGAAAATCGCCTGCCTCATAGAAGTGTTATACTGTAGATATCACAGATAACTGGAGCTAGTTCAATGGCGAATGTCTTTAAAATTTTATTTGGAATTAGGTCCGGACCACAGGACTTTGCAAATTTAATATGCTGAAGTGCTAAAGGCCGGCGCACACTAGAGCTATGTGCTTAGCAAAATGTCATTCGTGACTGTTGGCGTAAGGAGATAGCTCTCGTGTGCGGGCGATTTACGAACGACTTTTGTCATTCGTGCCACTTACGCCAAATATCTAACATGTTTGATAATTTCTGCCTCGCGTGCCAAAATCTTTCCGTGTGCGGCGAACGAAAGCTATCGGCTTACGGATTGTCGTAACAGCGCATGCGTAGTATACGAAAGTAAACATCCAAGATGGCGGCGCAAAATGAATTGCTGGCCGAGGCAATTTTAGGGGACAAACAGCTAGCCCGACAAACTTGTCGAACTTTGGCCTGAACACAAATGTTTATACGATGTGAGTTCTGCAGATTTTAGAAATAGGGACAAAAGGGAATGTGCGGTGAAAGAAATAGCCAGTAAGTTTGTCCTCTAAAATTGCCTCGGCCAGCAATTCATTTTGCGCCGCCATCTTGGATGTTTACTTTCGTATACTACGCATGCGCTGTTACGACAATCCGTAAGCAGATAGCTTTCGTTCGCCGCACACGGAAAGATTTTGGCACGCGAGGCAGAAATTATCAAACATGTTAGATATTTGGCGTAAGTGGCACGAATGACAAAAGTCGTTCGTAAATCGCCCGCACACGAGAGCTATCTCCTTACGCCAACAGTCACGAATGACATTTTGCTAAGCACATAGCTCTAGTGTGCGCCGGCCTTAAAAGAACAGAATTAGGTGTCGCATTCATCATCATTTTGAAGAGGCTCAAAATGAGAGGTGAGACCAACAAGGTAATCATTATGATATTCAGTAGCCTGCGTGCAGGCCCAAGGGAACTTGATAGTGGGCCTGCAACCATCACCCCATGTTTTCGATTTTCGCCGGCCGAACCGCCGGCTAAATTCCCATTGGCTAGCTGAGGCGATCGGTAATTAATTAACCTAGCCCATTGTGCAGGCACAAGGGAACAGTGATTCATCACAAAGGCATAGACAAAGGCTCTCGATAAGCTTAAAATTTGAAAATTGATCACTTTTTTCGATTACAAATGGAACAAGGAGAGACTGTTTATTGTTTACTTGAAGGAAGACATGTTTTTGCCGTTATGCCAATGGGGATTGCTTGTCGTGAGGTGTTGGAATAGCAACATTACGACTGGGGTAAATTATAGTAACCTTTACTTGAGTTTCATTAATTTCAAACAGACTTCAGTTGATACGTTATGTGTTCTCACTTCCTCAAGAAAATTATCTTTTGGTTGATGTTGAGATGCAGTTGCATGTAAGAACTGTAAGCCTATTCGAAACACTTTGCGATTTACAAGGCTTCGCAGAGAGCGAAACAGAAGGCGGTATTAAATTGCCGTTTGAAACGAAACGATCTGGACTCGGAACGCTCTCTTTTTTTGTAGAGTTCTTTACCAAATGAAATAAATTTCGTACTTTCCGCCGCCAACAAGAATTGCACACACGATCTGATAAGTGAGACAATTTATTTATAACAATGCCAATGGCGACAGCGAAGCACACATAATATAAATCCTAATGTGGTCGCCCGACTTCCCTCATGATTTGAAGTTTGAGACTGGTTTTCTGTTGAAATTCGTCCTAATTTGCCTGTTCCGATTTTAGTTGAAAATGAGCACTTGCAAATTTGGCAATTACTGACTGCGTTGCTTGCTTTTTTGGAGTTAAAACGCAGCCATTTACACATTGTTTATTAGTGTTCTGAATAAGCAGAGAAAACCCCGCAACATTTTAATGCGAGTTTGTTTGTTAATATTTGGGTCAGCACTCATTGGTTCTTTTTTGACAATTGACGCGCGAATGGGGCGTGTTATGAAAAGGGGCGTATTTCAAAATACCGGGCGATGGTTGCAGGCCCACTATCAAGTTCCCTTGGGCCTGCACGCAGGCTAGATATTGAGCGAGGTCATTACACGTGGGGATAGACTCTGATACCAATTAATAACACAAGTTCTCTTACGATTTAACAAAAACCTTGACGTTTCAATACCTTAACCACCAACTTTAAGCTACATAACGGGGATTTTTAAAAGGACATGACATTGAAAATTAAGTTCGTCTCATTTGAAAGAACTTTCAAAATTATATAAAAATTCCTTAGTTCTGGATGGCATTTTTTGCTATAGTTCTTGAAATATTTTGATTGATAACAATGATATGTTAGCCATAAATGATGTGAGAAAGGTGATCAAATAAAAATATTGTCAATCAATTTCTAATTAAAAAGATCAGATCTAAAATCTATCATGACGAAAAGATGAAAGGTCACACTATAATATACATGTACAGTATACAACACCTGGAAAATGATAATTTATGGAAAAAAGTGCAACCATACTGTAGAGCGGTGCTCTGGTACATGCATGAAGTTGAATGTTAGTAAATAAAAATAACACACCTGTCTGGATATCTTCTATTCCTAGTTTTTTCATTCCTCAGCACCTACAAAAGTACCAATTGAAACAACTTAGTTACTGTAGATGCATGAAAACAATACAATGACACAAGAAACATGGTAAAACTAGTAAAGTGTACAATATCACAGACAAACATTAATATTTAATGATTTTTGAGACGTTCTCTGGTTGGAACGGGTAGTTATACAATACAATGATTACAGACGACTACGGTTTACAATTACAGAGTATTACGCCTACGGTTAACAATTACAGTACAGTGACAAACAAATAACTGGAAGTGATAGTTCCGCCTAAATATTGTACTCTATGAACTCTAATAATTGTCCTATTTCTTTAATAAAAAACGGTATTGTTCTGGTAAATGTTTAGAATTATTGTCAGCGTAGGCGTATACTCTGTAATGCTGTCGTCTGTAATCGTATTTTATAACTACCCGTTGAAGGCTGCAGTCTGACACCCGAAAGCTCGTGAAAAATAAACATTTCCAACGAGAGAACGTCTCAAATATCATTATGTTCAATCCTGGTCGCACTTCCAGCATATTTAATAATATTCAAATTTTATCATGTACTGTACACTCATAACACTGATAACAGATGTAACAAATTCTGCAGTTTAACTAGTCTGTGGACGTTCATCATATGGACATGACAGTCTGGCGGAGTAAAATACTCTGATCGCATGTGGTGCACATATAGCCAGTAAACCTGAGGGGGAAATCCATGTATACACAAGCAGACAGGCGGAAAAAATTCATACAAGCTGAAAATCCCCCAACCCTCCCAGCAATTTTTGTAATAGACCTTACCGATTATTCTCTTTTACCCAAACGCCTCGTTTTCGTGTCAAATACTTACTCACGTTTTGTGCTTAGTAGGGTTGAAAATTACTTTGTTATTGAGCCTAAAAACAGTAAGAAACAAATTCGTCCAGGAAAACATGGGAATATAATCTTTATCAGCCCCTGACATGCTAAAATAAGTTAACATGGAAACGAGGCCATTGGGTAAAAGAGAATGATTGGTAAGGTCTATTGGCTGTCCCTAAGCATACTGTATCAAAGCACTATGTACAGTATAAATCTCACATTCTGATCCAAATAAGCAGCAAAAATAAATTCTGACAAACAAATATGACATATTTACCCGATTCCTTTGGTTTCGATTGTTGAAAACAACCTCGTTCCCAGGTTTGAACCAGGTTGTGTTGAAAACTGTTTTCTTTGACCTACGTCTTTGTTGATTTCTATTATTGCTTTGTTTTTTACTGTTACTATTGTTTGTATTCCCCTTAAAAACAAATAAATAAATAAAGATAATTTAGAAATGATAAATAATTTTATTAAACACTCAGATATATCAACGCCATCACATTCTACCTTGATCCCCCTAAATTGTTGTGTAATTATCTTCAGCTCCATGCTCGTTAGACTAGCCTATTCAGGGGCACAACTTGACTGTACATATTTGGGGGTTGAGTTCATCTTTCCTGATAAAAGGGTGTGATCTCCAATCAATCTGCCATGAAATTTGTGTTAACTTTTAAATATTTTCCTCAGATGACTTCAAATGCTTTGCCCGACATACAGTCCAACACCACAGGCCGCGTTTTCTTTTAACGTTACATAAGAGTATGCAGAATTGTCTACTGGTAAAGGATTCTAAGGGGGTACCTAAGCCTATTTTTATGCAGCGACGTCGTGAAGACATCAACATTGGCTGGCCGAGATGTCGTCATGTTTTGACAAATTTTTCCTAGAATTTTGACCAAGTAGTAGAAATGTTTCCCGAAAATGTTGTCGACGGGGGGGGGGGTTCAAAAAAATTTCCGCACTAACATAAACAAAGCTTCAAATATTTTCGACCAAAATAAGCAAGACTAGCAATTGTTTCAGCGCAAACATGTCCAAAGCTTAGAAATTTAATTGTTTTTGTTTGTGGAAACACCACGTAAATTTATTACTGCAGTAATAAATTTACGTGGTGTTTCCACAAACAAAAACAATTATATTTTATCGCCATGCAAACATTCAAAGAACTTATTAGCTTAGAAATTGTTAAAATTGCGAACGATTTCATAACATTGACCATTTTTATCTCAAACTTTGACCAAATTTTACCAACTTTGAATTATTACTATTGAATTTTACCCGTTTTGAATTATTTGGGGGGGGGGGGGTGTTACACCCGCCTGTAGCGACGTCCCTGTTTTTATGCCTGAGGTTGATGTTTATTCTAATCGCTTCCACTTTGCTATTGTTACATGCAAATGTTTTACATGTTTTTTGAAGTCCGTGGCGCAGGCTAGCTTTCAACATGTGATATTTCATAGTAACTGCTGACAGAACAATTAATTATTAACTAATGGCCGGATGCTTATTTACCTGTATATTTCGTCTATCATTTACAATATTCTCCCTAAATGTCCTTGAACTTTGTTGCTGTAATTTTTGCCTTTGGTTAAGGCCACCACGTTTGCCTGCCACCTGTTGATAATAATAAGTTTACAATTAAGAAAGAATGCTGTCTATTCTGACTCATACTGTATATAATGTTCTCAAATGTCTAGCTGCATGACATGTCTGCAGCTAGCTTTTCTTTTGGTACAGAACACATATTATACTGTACAGTACTGTAGATCAGTGCACTGTTGAGCAATGCCACAAAGTTCCATTGGACGCTAATAAACAAAAGCACAATCGAAAACTAAAAATAACTGACTATGTTTATGTTGTACTGTGACATGGTTGCGATTTGCCATATACAATTTGTATTCTGGCATACAGTATGCAATTGAACAAGCACTTGTAAAGTTGTTGCATTTCAAATTTCGCCATAAACTAAATGAAAGGGAATGTGGGGTCAGCGGTAATTTTCACACTCCAGAATACAAATTGTACAACCACAAATTACAGCATGTACTACTGTAAACGTATGGAGCGTCATGAAAGACAAAATTCACTTTTGATATTTTGACGTGATTATTCTATATCTTGAAGTAGATTTTTAGTTCTGATGTGTTTAACAAATACTACAGATTTACAATTCTTTTGTTGTTTTCGCATTTATGCGCTAGTTAGTTTTCCTTTTATGAAGTTAGTTTTGCATTATGATCAATGTTAGTTTTAGACTTTTGGCATTATGATACTAGTTTGCAACTTGGCATTATGATGTTAGTTGGCATTATGATATTACCATGAACACTTGCGGTCGCAATACTGCGTGAAAAGCATCATGGGAAGTCAATCAAAATCGACAAAATGGAAACATCATGATCGACCGAAATTTGCAATGAATTATCAAGGTTGTCAAACGACCTTTCCTCTGTTGTTTTCAGTCATGGTGAGATCGATTTTTATACATCTACCGACTCAAACAATCACTGTTTTAGTGATTTGGAAACGTTTTTCTCAGATTCACATTTGCCCACCATTTTAATGAAAAGATAAAATAACTCACGTTCCCACTGATCTCATAGTATAACTGTAAGTAACAATGAGATCTTCCCTTGATGCCTTTTACGCCTAATATTGCGACCGTAAATGTTCATGGTAATATCGTAATGCCAACTAACATCATAGTGGCAAGTTGCATGCAAACTAGCATCATAAACTAACATGATCATAAGTCCAAAACTAACATATCATAATGCCAAAACTAACTTCATAAAAAGAAAAATAACTACATAAATGCGAAAACAACAAAAAATTTGATAAACACATCAGAAATAAAGATCTACTTCAAGATATAGAATATACTGTAGTCATACTGTAATATCAAAAGTGAATTTTGTTTTTCATGATACTCCATATAAACGTACCTAGTATAGTCAGCAAAGTTTTTGATTTATTGGTAGAAATTTGAGATTTGAGCTTAAGAAATGGTTAAAGGTCCAAAAGAGTTTTCTCATTATTTTCAGTTTTTAACCGATTAGGTTGCATTGTGCGTTATTGCACCTTACTTTTATTAGTTTACTCTGTTCAACACCAGAAAATTTAACTAGTAAAGGAGACAGTGCTGGCACTTACAGTAACTATAGTCCCCAAAAGTTGTATTGCACCCTACTTTATTATTATTTACTCTGTCTGATGCCTGCAGACAATTTCACTTGTCAAAGATTAAAGTACAGTATAACTGTACTTAAGGGTTACTAAAAATTCAAGCTTCTACAAACCTTTCCAGACAACTCAGGTCTTCTCCTATTTGTACTATGTGTAACTCTAAACTCCATTTCCTGACTTTGTTTTTTTCTTCTAGTTACTATTTTACTCAGTGTAATCTGATGTCGAGTTTTTTGTTGCTCTTTCTGAAGTGAGGTTTTTATTTCAGCTTTAAACTTTTTTCTCTTTTCAATCTTGTTTAACTTTATAATTGCATCTGAGAAAAGATAAAACCAATGCTAAACTGTATGATGGTCTTACTGTACATAGGAAACCTCCAAATGTAAGTCATGCGCTTATATTCGTTCATAAGCATTTTTTGATGGGCTAATACATGGGGGGGGGTTGTACCTGAAAACCATACTAGAGAGTTTGAGCAAGAGAACGAAGTCGGACGACAACGACGTGGTTGACAATTTTTGCCTGTCTTGCACATTATCTTGCGCATTCTGAGTTTAGGGTCAGGGATGAAGACAGATTAGAAATTCATGTCTACCTGTTTATGAAAGCTGACCCAAATTCCTACCCTGATAAGGACAAAACAGCGAGACATGAATCCATATCCCGTCTTCGTTCTTCTGCCTTCGTTCACAACGAATATTTTGGCAAAATTCGTTGCAAACTTCGTTCCGAACCAAGGCAGAAGGAGAAAGACAGGATATAGTTTCATGTCTCGCTGTTTTTCTCTAGGTCAGGGCAAGAATAATGGTCAGTATTCGTAAACAGCGACACATGGGAAGACACGTTGAGCAACCACCAGTGACGTCCAACTCAGTATGCGCAAGAAAATGTGCAGACGGCAAAAATTGTCAAGTACGCTTTCGTCTTCGTACTTTGTTGTCTTGCTCAAACTCTCTACTGTCAATGTAAAGAAATATAAGGGGGGCCTTATATTCGGAGGGGGGCTCATATTCGGGGGAAGGGCATATATTCAGACTGAGGTAATTTACACAATGGTACTTCAACAAGACTAAAATATAAAACAAGTATCCCAAAGGTCGCGGGTTCGATTCCCACGGACATTACTAAACCACGAAAGAGCGAAACGAAACAGCGAAACAACGAAACAGCGAAACAGCGAAACAACGAAACAGCGAAACAACACGTTTTATATTATTTTTAGTGAAATGAATAAACTACATTTAAGTTAAACTAAATTAGAACGAAGTTAGACGAGATGAAATGTCATCACGGCATCAGCACATAATAGTCTCAGTAGGTAAAAGTAAAATAAGCATCAAAATTGTGACACGTTTACCCAAATTGAAGAATGTTTTATTACTATTAGTGACCGAGACGAAGTCGAGAATTAATATAAGAATAAAACAACTCCATAGTTGAATATTTGAATAAAATAACTCCACAGTTCAATATTTACAATCTAAATTACCCAATCCTTGAATTAATTTTATATATAGACACACGACATATCCTGGGGATACAGTACATGTACACGGCTGCAAATAAATATTTGACTTGAGAGGACATTTGTCCGATCACTTTTAATTTTGGTCGGACATAACTTGAATTTGGTCGGCAAAGACAAGTATGTATAGCCATTCCGGCGCAACGTTAAGTAAAATGCTAGAATGCCTTGTAAATTTTATTGCAAAATGCAAATTGAGTGAATTTCAACAGGATTATTCAAAAAAATGTATAATGTGACAATTTTTTTTTGTGATCTGACCAATGTCCGATCAAAATTACTTTTGCTCGGACATTTGCCAAATTTAGTCGGACATTGTCTGATGTCCGACAGTAATTTGCAGCCCTGCATGTACAATATTTACAAAGATTGGGTTGTTAATGGAGTTTTTACTTGTTTTGCCCAGTGGTATCAAGTAACAAAGTAATTGTATTTCGTTACTGTACTTGAGTACAATTTTAGAGAGTCAGCATGTAACAAAGTAAACTTTTTCTGGAGTACTTTTACTTGGAACGAAGTCGTTTTAAGAAGTGACGTTTTACTTCGTTATTTTCATTTCGTTACCTTCTAACTTTTGTTTAATTTTAAGTGATTTACTTCTGATTTATTTCAATTTCGGGATAGGTAATACGACCTCTACATGCGTCTGGGATCTCTCGTTTGTGACTTACTTATAAGCATTATTTATTTAATGATTTCTTATATCTTCGATGGGGGTCTGGAAAGTAGACCATGCCGTGAAATATTGTATATTCGGTGCACACATATAATGTGCTGTTTTGTGTCTTTTGTATGTCAATCCATTGGAGAAGTTCCCCCTCTACATGCTACAGACAATAGTACTTTTACTTTTACTTTGTACTTCAAATATTTTTTAAGACTACTTTG